TAAACATTAAAAAAAATTAATAAAAAAATATAGAATAAATAATTCCCTCTCTCCATTTTTTTTCCACTCTCCATTTTTCCTCTCTCCATTCTTTTCTGTGAAAAGAAAAAGTATCAAAGTAGAAGATAAAGGTTCTAGCATTTTGTTACTTGATGTTCACAAAATTTTTTTAGAAGATGATAATCCTATGGCTGAAAACCTTCCTTTGAACTAGATAAGCTGCTGTAAGGGCTAGTAAAGCTATCCAACAATAAGAAGGGAGTTGTACTTTCATACTATTTCATACTGGGAAGGCTGTGTTACAAATCTATATAGCCTTACATACATAAGGTATGAGTGTAATAAGTCTTACAGACTTTTAATACCTTTCATGTCTTCTTTCAAGGCATAATAGAAAATTCAATTTGTTGTTTCTTAACATCAGAAGAGGCGATTTTTAATGGGCTAAATTTACATACATGTTTTGGTTCAAATATTTATTTTGGAAGCATGTTTACCACACTAGAACTTTTGTTAAGAGCAGTTTGATGAAGTCAGTTCAAAATACTTGTTTTTCTCCAAAGTAGTTTTTGGACAATATAAGAAAAATCTAATTTGTGACCAACTGTCCAAAAATTCAATAAGTAGCTCCCTCTCCTGGAAAAAAAAAAAAAAATGTGAGCTCCTCTTCATGCTGTAAAATACATGCTTGGATCTTTAAAAATATTTTTTAAAATACATGAACCAAAAAGTACATCTATACAGCCAAATTTTCTATCATTATTAATACCACATACTATCATAAATGGCTATTAAGTTTTATAGAAACTATATAAATACTAAAATTGTACTTGTTTGTCTAGTTAACAGAAAGTAATTAAACATCATTGACTTAGTGTGTAACAATCTTTGTACCTAATCACAGAATTTTAAGACTCCTTTCACTGTAGTGGTTTTATACCATTATCAAACCTTAATTACATTGTTCATACTTCTTAACTATTTTTTTCCAAAAGAGGAAAGGGTTCTATAAAGAAAGTAGCAGCTCTAGGAAAATTTCTTATTTAAAAATAAATCTTATTCAACTTGCTTGTCATCGTGTTAAAAAAAAAAAACAACAATATGAATGACTGGTATTAAGGACCTCAAATTTATATTTCTCATATCACTCAATAGTTAGAGAGCTAGGTTGCCTGAATTTAAAATGCAAATACAAAAGTCAAAATTAACAATGTTGATAAGTACATGTCCTCACATACTAAAAACAAACTCTTATCCCATAACCTATCTCTCACCCACCCACCAGATCAGAGCAATTGTGTCACTAAGTTTAAATTACAAGAACACAACTGATTTTTTTAAAGTTGTTTATTGCTAAAGATGAAAACAGAGAAAGAGTTAAGTCTGAGGGAAGAGTTAATCAGAAAACAAGATACAAGCACACTTGGCTATCTCAACTATAAAGTAAACTGAAAATGTCAAGACAACTTCAAAATTCAAAAAATATAAAAGCTTCTCATATAAAGCAGACTTACCATAGTGCAAAATGAATGCCAAAATATTTGTATAAAGCAGTGGATAATGTTATTAAAACATTAGTCCTAGTATTTGTTGATTCTAATACATCAATACTCATAATTACCTGATAAAAATCTTTCAACAGGCACCCTCTATTACAAGTGAGAAAATGTGTACTAAGATAGCTCCTTACTAAATCTTGACAGACTATTTGCAAATACACTGCTGAAGCTTTCTACAAGGACCAACATTCCTAATACAAACATCTCCTTCCTAATATAAACATCTATTTCTCCAAGAAAAAAGATAAATGAAAAAAAAGTTTCAAATCAAATGTATATAAATGAGGACTTAAGCTTCACAGGCTGACTGCTTTTATTGAAATTATTTGGTAAAATAATTTCTTGTAGGGAAGTTTACCCTCTAAATTTTATATACCATTCATTGTTAAAGAGAGCAGTGTTTAATATACAATCTGTACTTTCTATGTGACTCGTTACATACATCCTATGACAGCTTAAAATTTACGAACACTCACACTAAAGTCTTGAGGCAAAGTATTTACTTCGTGTTAAAATTACTTGGCTGAACTAATTAAACGAAGCTGGTTTCTCTTAGCTAAGTTGGGTGATGGAGAACTTGAGAAAAGAAATATAAATGAATACCATATATTCCTATTCACGCGCTTCAGATTAAAAAAACAAAAGAAAACCAAGAATCCTGTACAACCACACCCCCCACTAGTGACAATCTCAGCAGAACAGAAAGAGAATGAAGCATAACAAAGTTACTTGTGATTAATTTTAAGTTATCCTCCCCACCCTGTATTAGATAAACAGCAAAACAGGCATGGAAAAGGAGCAAGGTAACTTTCCTGCAATTACAGGAGGGATCACAATCCCACATTAGTCACCACTATCCAAGGACACCGCACTGAAGCTGGGTGGGAATGTGTAGAAATTCAGGAACTACTCCAATGGTCAACAGTTTTTCGGGTTTTGTTTTCTCTTTTTGCGGTCACCAGTAAGAAGATGCCAACCTACTCGCCCCTAAAATGTACGTTTGTTTTCAAAATAAAGTCGCGTGAGAGCCAATAACTCAACTGGACCAGAGGTGAGAATCTCCTTCCCCTGTTTCTCACCATGGCCTAACATGTCATCTTCTTCCTGCAGTCAAATTACTACATGAATACGGCAGGTCACAGAATCAGGATGAAAATGTCGGTCTTGGCCTCAAACCCTCCCAGTCCAAGTCCAAAGATGCCTTACTTTCTCCCCTTCCTAGTCCCACTCAAAGCACGATTTATGGATTAACCTCATCCCTGACCGCAGTCTCCATTCCCCAGCTTTTCCTCAAATTAGCTGCCACATAAATGAGTTAAAGAATAAAACAAAGACTTTGGGGGCGAAGTTAGACCAGCCACAAAGAGTACTGAAGGGGAGAGCAAACGCGGTACAGAAACACTTGAGAAGAACTAAGAAAGATCCAAGGGCTCATGAACAGACTGCGCCGTGGAAGCGCAAACCCCGGCTGATAAAAGCAGAAAGGCTGGGAGAAGAGCCCAAGGAAACTCACGAGAGACATTTTGGGAACGTACAAGACGCGCTCCCTCTGGTGTTTAAAGGATCCGCAGTCAAATCCAAGATGCGCTCGAGTCTAGGTGCCAAGAGCAGACTCTTCACCAGCCAGGTCGCCCTCCGCAATCCGACACAGTGCCCAAGGGTCCCCCAGGGCCGCCCCCTTCCCACGCCCGCAGGCTGGCCCAGCCGGGCCGGGTCCAAACTGGGCAACGAGCGCGGGTGTAGCCACTTCTCCGACTCCAGTTCGCCCGCGCGGCCCTTCCCGGCAGGACGCCCCTCACCCGGGCTCCGCGCCTACCTGTAGCACCAGCGGCTCGGGGTTGAAGGCCAGGGTCAGCAGCAGTTGCATACGCTCCGAGTCCTTGAGGTTGCGCAGCAGGAAGCTGCCCGAGTCCTTGGTCTCCGCGTAGCGGCGCACCAGGCGATCGAGCAGGCGCTGCGAGGGGCAGTGCACCAGGTCGGACCAGCCCTCCACCGCCTCCGGCGTGAGCAGCCGCACGTCGCCGTTGAGGCGCGCGAACTCGGTGCGGGGCATGGCCTGGAGCAGGTCGCAGCGGGGTCGGCCAGTGGCCCGTTTGCAGATGCTCTGGTCGAGCTGCGCCAGCTCGCGCTGCGAGCCGAGGCGCTTGAGCACCACTCGGCGGCGGCCGCCCTCGCGGGGCTCGCCGTACTGCGCGAAGTAGACGTTCTTCACGTTGAGGAAGTCCAGCAGGCGCAAGCGGCCCCACGCCTCGAACACCACCTGTCCGTTGAGGAAGCGGCGGCACCAGCTCGTGCCGAAGCACGCCGGGCACTTATTGAGCTGCAGGAAGCGCCGGTCGGCCAGCTCGTTGCGCTGCCAGGAGGCGAGCAGCGACGGCGAGTGCAGCACCATCAGCACCAACAGGCTGCCCAGCGCCGCCAGCTTCAGCGAGCGGGACAGGCGGCCCAGCTTCGGGGGCACCAGGCGCCACATCCCGCCCGCCGCCCGTCCACACGCACCCGGAGGGCGAGGGCACCCCGTGGGCGCCCCCGCCGCGCCGAAACCCGAAGAGCGACCGGCTGGGGCCCCCGGGCGAGAGAAGGAGCGAGGTCGCGGGCTGGGGCAGGAGGCGGAGTAGGTGTGTAAGAGAGAAAGAAGAGGAGCGGGAAGGAGCCGACCAAAGCAGGCTGCGACTTCTTCCAGTCACTAGACTCCACAACTCTCGAGCTCCCTCCTCCGAGCTCCCCGCCCTCCGACTCCGGCGGCGCCTCCTTCACGCCAACCAAGTTATAGAGGAGCGGGAGGGGGAGGGAGCGCGGGGACCCGACGGCGCGCGTCCGCGCGCGCGCACGCGCACTGTTCGCTCGGGGGCGCGAGAGCTGCGGCGGCGGCCGCCTGTGGGGCGAGCGGGGTCTCTGAGGAGAGGGAAGAAGGGACTCACGGAAGGGGAAGAGAAGCTGGAATGTCTCACAGCGAAAAGTAGCAACAGTGTAGGAAGGTGGGAAGGATGAGGTGCCCGCGCGTCCCTGACGCCTCACGCCCCGATTCGTACGCGCCGGCTCTCCAGAGAGGGAGAGGGGGCCAGGGGGCGGGGCTGGTGGGGCGGAGCGAGCGCGTCGCGCGCCGCCCGGAAAGCGTAAGCGCGAGCCCGCGGGGGTGGCTTTGGGGGCCGGCTCCTTGGGGGCGGAGCTCGAGCTTTTGGAGGAGGGATAGCTGGTGAGATCTGGTAAAATGACTTTCAGTTAACGGTTAACCTCTTGTGATTGTTGAGTTTTACTGGGGCCTCTCTTTTGCCATGATGGAAACGGTCCTGTAAGAGGGGCCAAAAGAAAAAACGAATTGCAGAATTGCCACCCCCTCACTCACCGGACTGCTCACGCTGGGCGGAGGCAGAGGGGGCGGGGCAACGTGCTCCTCGCCTCTGACAGGGGTGGGTAGCGCGCCTGGGGGCGGGGCGAGACGAGGCACGCCTGGCGGGAGATCGCGTCTCTTAAGGCCAGCGCGCTCTAGGTCGGGGGCGGGCCTGCGGTGAAAACGTGGGAAAGGTATGAGTTGTTGGCTGACGGTTTGGGGACCGCGTCTTTGGCGTCTGTTATTATCTGCGGAGGCATCTTAAATTTCCTAAGCGGGTACGGAAAAAACGAAGTTAAACAAAGTGTGATGGAGGGGGAACCGACGCGGCCTGGTGTCGCCGGGAGTTCTGCCCTAACTACTGCGAAGAATCGGGGATGAGCAGTTGGCATGTTTGCCTTGCTGCCCGCCTGTTTTCACAGCCCGGCCCTAAAGCCGTTTTTTCCGTCTCAGAAGTGAATTTCCCGGCGCCGTCCGTGAGGAGCGGGCTGGTGCTTCAGGCCCACCCATTCCCCCCCCCCCCCCCCCCGGCTCCGCCCCGCCGCGTCTCCGGGCCCGGGCCTGCCCCGCGGTCTACGACGCGTTGCTGTGGCGGTAGCCATGGGGACTCGGGGCTGTCTGGCGCTCCATACAGGCGCTTTGGCTCAGATTCACGCCACGACTGCAAAACTAACTCGGAAATGCTGAACTATAGCGCCTTGTTTTGGTATAAGTTTTAGGGGACCCGGGCTCTTTAGCAGTAGCTGAAAATACAGAACCCTTTTTAGCTTAAGCGCTCGAATAGTTAACATGGGGAGTAGTTCTGAGAAAAAGGTGGCTCCTGATACGGTATTAAAAATCTGAGGCTTTACTGAATTCACTTCAGGGATTGAACAATGATTTTTAGAAGACACTGGTAACTGGCATGTATAAATAAACTCTACAAGGGCTTAATAAAAAACCTCTGTTCTGGATTATCAAATTTACTTCACTGTATCGTCCTCAACAGTTACTTGATTGCAAAAAAAGAAGCCATCCTCTTGCAAAGTACTGTTGAGTTTAATGTATTGTCCTTCCTGATATAAGAATTCAATATTCAACATAGAAGGGATTTTTAAATGATACTACATTGAATACAGACAGCTTGGAAGATTTAGTCTTCAGAGCCTTGTATAAAATGACTAAGAAATTTGGCTTCTACTGCTAAGGACTTTCTGCCACCTCTGGCAGTAATTTTATTTAATTTGCCTTCAAGCATCCCAGAACTCCATACAATGTGAAGTTATGAGCAAAATCTCAAATGAGGATTTCCTAAGAAAAGCATTTGGTGTCATTAGTCTGGAGATGTCAACTCTGCTGCTGCTACTGCCACTGCTCAATTGTAAACTAGGCAAGTCATTTACTAAACTAAAAAATTCCTATCCCTAAAATCTTTCTTACGTGTCCTGGAGATGTGTTTGATTAATACCAGATAATTTATGTGAAAATTCTTTAAAACAAAACACTCCATACATTTTTATGTTTATAGCTAGAATGAATCCGTTAGCATCCTTGACAGTAAACTGATTAAGCTGAGAGAATTGGACCATACTTAGAGACTAGTTAGGTGACTAGTAACAGGATTTAAGAATTGCTACTGTGTGTGGACAAGGTCTTGGGAGTTCTTAAACTATTCTCAGCCTCCAAATCCTTGGATTTCTCTAGGCATCATTCGAAGAGTGGAAATACAAAAGATTACCAGTCTACACAAATTGAATGTAAAAATACTTGCTTTGTCTCTAAATATTTTACATTTGTGTAAAAGCCTTGATACCTTCAGTTAAGTTTTCTAGACATTTATCAAGATAGATAGTGTTCAAAAATTTAATACATTTCTCAAGGTAAAAAACAAAAAGGCTTAGAGCTATAAGAGAGAAACTCAAGAGTGTTCTAAGTACTATATTAGGGTTTGAAGAAAGATCAGTAAGTGAGTGATACAGTACATTACCCACCTATCCTATAAATTACAGGATGCTTTTGACTAATGGAATATAAGCTAACATCCAAAGCTCTTCCCCATAAGTTTAAATAATGGCCAATAATGTAATTTCCAGTGCATTGTAAAATGGCATTTTACGGTAGTAGTCACTCCTTTAAATATATGCAATGGAATTAAATATAGTATTTTGATACTCATCATCCATTTTTAAAAAGTGAACTAACACTTTGCTTGAATAAGTATTACATTGTATTGCTGTTCTGTCCTTTACATTCACAGCAATAGTTCTCAGGGACTATTGCCTCCCTCCCATGGTATATGCTACTAAGAAATCCAGACCTACAGAATTCTATTCTTATATAGAATGGTTTTAGGCATAAAAGTCTTACTGGTTATCATTGTTTGCTGCAGCAAAAAAAAAAAAATGTATATTAATATTTATTCCATATCTTGTGGTCCTAATGTTCTAAAATTAAGTCAATCCAGGAAAATTCTTTTAATCATTGTGACTGTTACTAATATACAGATGATCAACATATAAATATCATAATTTTGAATAATTATAGAAAGTAATACTTTATCGAAATGTATTTCTTAGTGAGATTGGGATTTTTATCATTTAGTTTAAGTTTTCATGGATGAATATTATTTATTTATTGCTAGAATCTTACCTAGCCATTAATTTTCTCAATATTGACTTTTAGGTGCCCTGGCAGTTATGTCCTGGAACAACGCACTGTAGTGAGATTCAGGATAGGTAAGAAGTTTATTTCTTTTGTAAAGGCCAAAAGGGCCATTCTCTGTGTACTGAAGTACCTCAAACATTATTTTTTTAAGAAGTTGTTTACTAGTAGTTACTGGATAGATGGATGGGTGATAGCAAGGACACTGGTGGGAACACTCTGGATATATTCTGAATACAGACCTAACATAATTTACTCAAGATTTGGATGTGAAAGAAGGGGAAGCAACAGCTCTCACTGTGTGGTTTTTATTCTAACCCACTAGATTTATTATTTGCTGAGATGGGGATACTGAGAAGAAAAGAATGAGGCAGATACAAATACAATTCCCTCTGTCCATTTTCTTTAGTGCCACATTTGTGTTTCTAAGTTTAAGTTAGCTGTTGAATCTTACAGTTATCTTATAGTTATCTATCAAAATGTAAATAATATATTACTCTCAGTGTAGTTAAAAGACTTACACAGTCATTTTCCCACAAATGACAGGATCTTTTCCTTGGTTTCTAACTCCATTGCCTACAGTTCAAACACTTGACAGAGTTAGTTGTAACTCTTTACCAAGTAATGTTAATAATCTAATTGGTATATATTTGATTACTTTAAGGACAGGTTGTGTACAGTGTTTTAATGGTATTTTAAACACATTTTATTGTATTTGAAATCAAAAACTAGATGTAGGTAATTTTTAGGACAGGTTCACTATCATCAAACAGTTGACTCCATTGGATGTATAAAACTCATAAACACCAGAGGACTTTGCTTGTTATAATTGAATTATAGTAGTTTTCTGACTTGTGCAAAACAATGCAATTTAGCTCAAATGCAACTGGAACCTTGAATTCATGATTTATATTAATTCAAATTAATATTCATTGTTATTGGCTAGGCTGATCCAGAGAGGCATGTTTTTCTCATAGTGAATTTTGAATACTTCTGTTTTTTTCCCACATGGTTTCAGCAAAGGAAATAATATTTGAAAATACAGAAAAATTAACACCATTTCAATGAGAGGTTACTTTCATACCCAGTTATTAAGATCTTTTGAAAAGTTAACCCAAAACGTGTACACCTTTGTAAGTTAACATTATTATTACCTATTTTATGGATTGGCATACATACGGAAAGTTCCCTTTATTCAGGTCCACCCCAAGTTCAAGAATCTGAGGGTATGGGTTCTCCAAGTCCAGTGGATGAGACAGAGATATATACCAGCTTTATTATATATCTGTGATATATAGCGAGGTCTAAGCAATATTGAAGGAGCATAAACAAGTTAGAAATTCCTGAAGTTACCAACATTATATTTGCATTGAACTCCTTTTGGGGGAGTAAGTTGTGTGCACTAAAATAATTTTGTTTCTTTCTCCTTTAACAGCCTGTTTTCTTAAGCCTTACATCCTATGTCTTACCTCTCTGCATCTACTGGCTTGTAGATGGTGAATGAAAGCAGCTATAGCCCACTGCTGTGGCTAAGCAAGTCTGCCAGAAAGCTTGAAGAGGAGCCTCAGCTGCCCTTTACAGAGCAAAAGCATCCTCTGAGTAGCTAAAGCTTGGACTTCCAAGTAAGGTATCTTTACCGGATCCCTTAATGGAAATCACATGTATAGGTAAAAGACCTGCCATGCCATAGTCTTTAGCCTAATGGCTGTGCCAGTTGTAAAGATGATCCACAGCTGAAGAAGGCTATTTATGTTTTGTACTTGGGTATCAAACATAATATGTATTTAGTATTCAAAATTATATAGTTGAGATATGTTTTTTTGTTTTTCCTTACAAAAGGGCTTATAAACCTTGTAGGTAATTAATTAAGAATTCCCATTTGGAACACTAAAGATTGTGGCCACCAATTCTAACATATGGGATATGTGTGTGTGTGTATGTGTGTGTGTTGGGGGGGTTCCCCATATCAACAAGCAATTCTCCCAACACCAAGTGGGTGTCCTACAATTTAACTCAATTCTGACACTGTCTACCTGGTAGACCAGGTAGTTACCTGTGCTTCTGAATGACCAGCTATAAATCAGAGATTCCCATGACCCCTTCTTTGCGTCACAGGTTAAGAGTTCAGTCCTACAAGGCTGTCTGTGCTTCCACTTCAGATGCCAGTAGCAAGTCCAGGTTATCACCTATCTTCTCTCACATACCCTCTCCTTGGTTTTGATTAATATGCTAGAGTGGCTCACAAAACTCAGAGTAACATTTTATTCATTAGATTACTGATGAATTACAAAAAGATGTAACTCGGGGCACCTGGGTAGCTCAGTTGGTTAAGCGTTCAACTTTGGCTCAGGTCATAATCTCACGGTTCATGGGTTCAAGCCTTGTGTAGGGCTCTGTGCTGATAGCTCAGAGCCTGAAGCCTGCTTTGTATTGTGTCTCCCTCTCTCCCTGCTCCTCCCCCACTTGTGCTTTGTCTCTCTCTAAAATAAATAAACATTAGAAAAAAATTTTTTTAAAAAGATGTAACTCAGGAACAGTCAGATGGAAGAGATGCATACAGCAAGGTATGGGAAAAGGACTAGGAGCTTCCATGACCTTCCCAAGTGTGCCACTTTCCCTGACCATGTGTTCACCAACTTGGAAGTTCTCAAATCATCAATTTGGGGTTTTATAGAGGCTTTATTACGTAGGTATGATTGATTAAATCACCATCCGCTAGTGACTGATCAGCCTCTAGCTCCTCCCTTCCCTCTTCTCTGTTCTTATCAAGGGGTGAGACTAAAAGTTCTAACCCTCTATTCCTGGTTAGTTCACCTGGCAACCAGCCCCCATCCTTCAGTGCTCTTCAAAAGTGACCCATTAACGTAAACCCAGTTGTGGTGGAAAGAGGCATGTTATGAATAACAAGACACTCATTTTACCTTTATGGCTCTGAAGTTCTTTCAGGAACTGAAGACAGAAAAAAATATAACAATCGATGTTTCCATTGCTCTTATGCTCAGGAAATTCCAAGGTTGTCATAAATCATATTATCACAGGAACTAACTGTAGAGATGTCATATCATCCAATGTAATCTAATTCCAGAGTGTGGCCCATTGAACTATTAGTCCACAACAGATTTACCTTCTTTGAAATGTAACTGATTCACTGATCTTTCTGATTTGACAGACCATCTTCTACTTTCTGTCCTTGTTCTACCTTGTACTTACTAAAGAAAGTGGATTGATATGCAGGACTTTTTCCTCTTTTTTTCCCCCTTAGGAAATAGTAGAGTTCTAGTTATTTTTTTGAGAAGCCCGGAATTAATCACAAAATAGTACATATTTATTTATTATAATTAAGCTTCCTTGAAGATTAGCCTGATACTTAGAACTTAAATAATTATATATAAATATATGGTGTGCTGATCTAATCACAAGGTAACAAGACCATTATTAGAACTTGTTGACAAATTAAAAATAGCAACTTAGTAGATTAAACTGGAATGCCATAATTAATTTCTTTTTATAGATAATATATCATTCTAAAATAAAATAGAATCTAATTGCAGTTATAAGTTTGCCGACTTAGTAGTAAATACAGTAATCGAAGTCCTAGGATTTGTTTAAAAGCAAGCTTTAAACTCTAAATAAGAGCAGATTTTAGTTTTTGTTACTAAGTTTTGATTTGTAAGTCTTTAAGATACTACTCAATTTTTGAACTGTATGTAATGAAAGACATTGAAGCAAAGTAATGTAATCAGCATAAAAAAAGAAAAAGTTCAGTGTTTGTCTCAAATACCAAAGAGATAACCAACAGTAAATAGTAAAAAACTTTCCTATAAAAATCAGTAAATTATAATATGAATGTTTATTCATTTATTGGAATATATGTTTCTACCAAGATGACTACCAATGACTTACATTTCTTACATTGTTTTTTCTCTTAAAACTGGAAATAATTGCAAAGGAAATTTCAGGGACAGTATTTTAAAACTTCTATTTTAAAAATTACTCTCTTGGGGGCACCTGGGTGGCTCCGTCAGTTAAGCGTCCCACTTTGACTCAGTCATGATTTCACAGTTCGTGAGTTTGAGCCCCTCATTGGGCTCTGTGCTGACAGCTCAGAGCCTGGAGCCTGCTTTGGATTCTGTGTCTCCCGGTCTCTGCCTCTCCCCTGCTCATGCTCTCTCTCTGTCTCTCTCAAAGAATGAATAAACATTAAAAAATTTAAAAATAAAATAAAAATTATTCTCAAATTCCTCTTAAGTTTGTAAAAGCCATAAAGAGAAATATTTTTCTCTAATAAAACATTAGCCTATCTTTTTTATATTTTGTTTTCTATTTGTTGCTTATATGTAGAACTAAAGTATTTTTATTATAATATTTTATTATATCATAACAACAAGAATTCTACATTTCTTTCTTTTTTGGGGGTGGGGAGAGAGAGAGAGAAAGAGAGAGAGAGGGAGAGAGCACACATGTGAGAGGGGCACAGAGAGAGAGAGAGAGAATCCTAAGCAGGCTCCACACTCAGTGCCTAGTGTGACACTGGGATCATGACCTGAGCTGAAACCAAGAGTCTGACACGCTTAACTGATTAAGTCACCCAGAAGGCCCTATATTTCTCATTAATTCTTATAGTTTGTAGATTCTCTGGGTTTTTTATACATACCAAATATATAAGTTACAGCATCATTTAAAATATTATGTTTTTTAGGAATAAACCTAAAGATAGGAATAATGCTAAAGAAAGAAAGATGGACACCAACTCTACACTGGAAATTACAAATCATTGAAAGACAAAGGTCTAAATAAATGGAGAGAGTGATATACCATGTTGAAGGATTAGTAGATTTAGTATTATAAAGATGTTAATTTATAATTCAGCATAACCCCCATCAAAATCCCAAGTTGTGTGTTTTTTTGTTTTTGTTTTTTTAAATTAAATTGACAAGCTGAAAACTCAGACATACCTACAAAGAATGAGGAATGACCGAGTTATTCTTAAAGAACAAAACACTGGAGTACTTAGTAAATACAAACAGTAAAAACACACAGGTGGTCAGCTGACTTACAACAAAAGTGATTAAACAGTGTAGTTCCCAAGGTGGTCTTTATAATAAATGATACAAGATCAAGTGAATATTATGAAAAAACATGTACATCTTGATCTGTCTTCACATGCCAAATACCAGAATCAATTTCCTTTAGGAATTACAAACTAAATGTGAATGATAAAATACTAAACCTTTTCAAAGGTAACAGGAGAACTTCTGTCTGACTTATAATAGGTTGTGACTCAGGAAATACCTAAGATCACCCCCAGGGAAGAACAGAGCTCAGCAAAGCTGGTATACTCATGGTTGCAGTTTATACCATGGTAAATGCAGATTAAAATCAGCAACAGGACAAGGTACATAGGGCAGGGTACGGGAGAGACCTGGTATAGAGAGCTTCTAGTTGTTCTCTCCCAGTGGCATTGTGTGAACAGTGCTTGCTTCTCCCAACAGTGATATGTGGTGATGCAGACAGAGTGTTGTCAACCAGGGAAGCTCAACCAAACCTTGGTGCCCAGTGTTTTTTGGGGGTTAAGTTACATAGTCATGGCTCTCTTCTCATATTGCTGATCTTAGTCTTCTGCTCCTCCAGAGGTCAGTGTGATACCACATGGGACAAGGTCCTCACCATAAATCACATTGTTAGTATAGACTACTTGGCATGGTTTAAAGCCCCCAGGTAAACAAAGACACTCCTTTGAGGCAGGACATTCCAAGGGCTTACAGTTACCTCCCAGTAACTAAGTTACTGGGATGAGGGCCATACCTTTCTTTGGACAAGATTAATCTTGTTACACATCAGTAAAGAGTTCTTAATAAATACCAAAAGCTCTAAACATAAAGGTAAAATGATAAATCCGTCTGTATTAAGAACTTGTATTCATTAAGAGAATGATTAACTCAGAGTAGGAGAAAGTATTTTCTTTTTTTTTTTTTTTTTTTAAATTTTTTTTTCAACATTTATTTATTTTTGGGACAGAGAGAGACAGAGCATGAACGGGGGAGGGGCAGAGAGAGAGGGAGACACAGAACCGGAAACAGGCTCCAGGCTCCGAGCCATCAGCCCAGAGCCCGACGCGGGGCTCGAACTCACGGACCGCGAGATCGTGACCTGGCTGAAGTCAGACGCTCAACCGACTGCGCCACCCAGGCGCCCCATCAATACACATATTTGACAAAGACTGGTATCTAGATTATATGAAGAACTCCTAGAAATCAATCAGAAAAAAACCCAATGATGGTTGGTGGGGGAGGGAGACAACAAGCAGAAGACTTAAGAAGGCATTTAAAAACAATAAATCTCACCTTTAATACTAGACTTGGCAAAAATGTGGAGAAATCCTACCTCTTATACAATACTGGTTGGAATGTCAATTGTTACTTTGGAGAACTGTTTGGCTGTGTCTACTAAAGGTGAACATATGCATACCCTGTGACCTAACAGTTTTGTTTCTAAGATTATACCCAAGAGAAAACTCATGGATTCATTCACCAACAGACATATTTATTGCCATACTGAAATAGCAGAAAACTGAAGAATATTCCAATGTCCATTAACAAAGAATAAACTGTGGTATATTCATACCAT